CCTGTGCTGAAGTTCACTGCTGTGAGGAGTCCAGTTCTGTCTCTCACTCTCTGGTCCAGCCTGCCTGCATCACCTGGACACTTTAAACAAACAGATATATATGTAAAGAACCATGTGTACAAACAATATAACTTATTATCTTCTGTTGAACATGTTGGATTGTGTATTGTCCGAGTCAGGGTCCTTTTTATTTTACTGTAACTTTGGAAGCTGTGTTACCAATGCTTACTGTTTATTTGATACCAATTTGGTAATGCAATTAATAAAAACAACAAGGTTTGGGTTCGTTCTTCAGATGACTGTGATGTTAACGTGTAAGCTCAATAATGAACTCCAGCTCAACCAACCATATTGTAATATCTAAGTAATCATCTTGAAATATGACATTAATAATTGTAATATACACACATCTTATTGTGAGGTTGATTTCACATACACTACTTCGACGTTAGCTTGTCTACATACTTAAGCATAGCCAATTTAAATTAACCTTAGTGATGCATACAGTTCCTACCTACATAATAAAATATCTCTCTAAGTTACAAGGATGACCTTATTTTATCAATCTCAAACAGAAGCCTTTTGTTCTACAGTATTATCCCACTTAACGCTTAACACTTGTCTATTTCGTTTTAACCTTTATATATACAGTCTATGGTTTTAAGTTAACTTGGAGGCTAAGATTAGCATTGTTAGCACCGATGTAGCTACCACTCGCTTACACGCTAACCCAAGCCTTAACATTCATTACGTAGCTGATTGAAATCATAAACACATAAATAAAGTACTCGAATTTCACTTACCGCAAAACGGCATTCATGCACCGTCTGTTTTAACTGCAGAGCGAGTCACAATAGTCCGATATATAAGCATGAAGAACAAACAAACACGGCCGGGGTCAAGTTGTGTTCCCTGGATGAACTGAGCAGGCAGAGTCCCTGTAGCTTCACGGACGGAGCAGCTAGCAGAGAGACAAGAAGCTAACAGCAGCAGTCACTTGACAGAGCTGTCACTCAATGTGACCACGCCCTAATTTATGCAAAAACTTTAAGACCTAATATAAATAAAAGGGTCATGTTAGAAAACAATTCACTCACAGATTCATAATCATGAAGGTGGAATCTAACTATATACATAATAATATTTATTGCATCCAGGGCTAGAAACGTTTTTTTTCTGCTGTGAAATTGGGCATTTTAACATGGGGGTCTATGGAAATTGCTCCTTTCTGCAGTCATCGCCGATCGGCCAATGAGCTGCAGTTTGTGGCACTTCCGTATTGGCGTCCCGGCTCTTCCCCAGAGTTTGCCGCTTGGTGTGATCACGTGTGATCATGTGTGTGTGATCCATGGATGTATAGAGTGGCGAAGTCACGCCCATCTACTTCCGGTCCATGGGACCTTATTTCGGAAAAATAATGTATTGAAGTCAATGGAGAGAGAAAACGTATCTTTCGATCCCGTTTGAATTGTGCCATGAATTACACATATGATGTTTGTCAATCTTAAAAAATAATTTCCATGTCAAAAAAGTCACAGTTTGTCGTAAAACTGTTGAAATATAAGACTATGAAAAATACGCAACTAGAAAGACTACAAATCCCAGAGTTGCGTAAGTGATGTCACAATTGTTTTCTTCCACTAAAATAGAGATAGCTAAGATAAGATAACGCCATATAGATAGAATCTATCTATATGGCGCTGGCTAAGATAAGATAACTTTAACAAGATGCCTGTGTGCTTAGTACCAGGTTGTTATCATACCAGCAATGGGTCTTGCTCGTTCTTTTGCTTCCCGTCTGATGAAAGGACCAGGAGTGGCTTGATCAAGTTAGCTACCTAGCTAGTAGCTAGCACGTTAGTTAGCATTACAGCCTTGTCATTTGTATTAGCCTTAACATGAAGTAACATTAAGTAACCCAAAATGTTAAACAGTAAGAGTAGTAGTCATATTTCGTGAACCCTTTGAAGAGTACTGTCACCGGTGTGGTCATTCTATAATACACAATTTAAGCCCGGGGGAGAAATGCTAACGCTAGCGATCTTTTCTACTTCATGCTATCTGCACAAATGGTTGACATTAAACATTAAAACGCCCAGGCAGTTCAGAGAGAATCAAAGGAAGGCAGGCAGGCAGCTTTGCATGACATTCTTCAGGACGTGTTTCATTGTGGTGATAGTGAGGGTAGTCAATCGTTTTGTTGACAAGACAGTAGTGACGGCTATCTTGGTGACGTGTGTTGTTGACTAGAGATGTAGTTCATTGAGCGTTTCACACAAACAAATGTGTTACTTCACAGTTTTACGACACATTTTTATTTTTTTGACTTGCAAAATTATCTTTTAAATTGACAAACATCATATTTGTAATTCGTGGCACAATTCAAACGGGATCGAAAGATAATCTTTCTCTCTCCATTGACTTCAATACATAATTTTTCCGAAATAAGGTCCCATGGAGGTCCACCGGAAGGGGAGGGAGAGTGGCGAAGTCCCTCCCCATCATTCGTGCATGATGATAAAATGGCCCAACTTTTGAGAGAGCGAAACGTCACAGATTACCCGGCATGCCTGAGAAGTACCCGTATGTGCGCTCATAGCGCATGCGCAACTTTAACCATGCCCCCCCAAAATGCTCGTTCACATCAAGCACGTCAATTTGCGTACACGTAACAGCACCGCACGTTCATGACAGCATGGTAATGGTTTGTTATTATGATAGATTTGATATTAACGAGGCGGCAGTTAGCAGCTAGCGGTTAGCTAGTAATTATGCTAATTTACACATCAATCTTTATGTACTTTTATATTACGCTGTAACAGGATCTAGTGATATCCAAGCAACAGAGCTTCATTTAGCATGAAAGAATTATTGCACTGTATATATATATATATATATGTATATATATGTATATATATATATATACAGTGCAATAAGCTTCTTAGTGCAAGAAGCTACAGGGACGTTAATCTACGTCGGTAATATTAACTTTATTTAATACAACATTTACGGTACAAGATTTAATCATACAGCCCATGTAGTATAATATTTTACAAATGATGAATTACAGCAAACATGTGCAATATATCCATTATTACAGCTCCGTGGGCTGGCAGTAAGGCGATATGGGTCGGTTCTTATTGTGCATCCATGGGTAAAGATAAACGCATGTACAGTAGTGCTGAACACGTAACATGAACGTGCCGGGCGGCGCGGTCCCGTGGGTTAGATGCGCGTTCATAATGCAGAGGGAAATAAATCACAGAATAACGTTATTAGCACATTTTTACAACTTGAGGAACGAATGTTTTTAATAAGGGCTATCCAAGTGTTCATACTGGGTCGTTTATTTAGTTTAAAAAAAATTATCCAACGATTTACAGACCACTCTTTCCCCATGTAAGTCAATGGGAAAAAGTGTTTCCGGGCCTGGCAACCAAAAGGAGGTGTAGTACCGCCGTTTGGCCACCACGAATATTTTCATCTGAGTCCGGCGCACTGCCTGGGGGCTTGGTGTGATCACGTGTAATCACGTGTGAAGTGGCCCTAAAGCTGAGAGACCTTTCAGATTGAGCAGAAACACTGATCTAATAACAGGTTTGTTCTTCAATCAACCTTTTAATGAAAACTCTTTTTTGTCATTTCCATTTCCAGGAATCTCAACAGACAATAATTAGATATTAAATATTAATGCCATAAATGATTGCATACATTTACAGTTTCTAATGTTTCCAGTGAGATAGCTGTCAGTCAGAAGTTACTCCAGTTCTCACTTATCCTAAGAATGCACTGAACCCACTTAGAGGGTTTCTTCTCAAAGAATCAGGAAGTTACGTTGTAAAAACAATAACTCTTCTCTCTCAGATTAATGTGCTCGGGCTTTTTCTTCTTCTTTGTGAAACGCTGCTGTGTCAAATGTCCCACTTTGGTTTCTGTACGTAGCGGTCCAATAGGAGGACCAACTCTGGACGTGCAGATCAGGCAGGTGCACGGTGTCAGTGTCACGCTCTCACAGTGATGCATGCTGGGGGGTTTCAGGCCTCATGTCCTGTGTTCACTTCGAAGTTCTCAATAAACCAAGGGTGTTTCTCAATCGCGAGTAAAGCTGCTGCAGAGCCACTATTTCAAGCATACTACGTCATCGAGTGCCGCCGAAGTACTGTTCCAATCTCCAGCATACTTGGAAATCTACTGAGCCCGGCGTACTCCGTTTGGAGAAATATCGAGGCTGCACATGAGTAGACTCCGCGGTCTTAAAATCCCCACAATGCTTTGCGCACGGACCAATTTCCCCAAATCTGTGGCGGAAGATGTAAGGCGGGGCCTCTCATATGACGCACACCTGCACACTTGCTAGCGTGTTCCACTCTTTGTTTTCCAAATGTCAGGAAGTATTCTTGACTCGCTTCTGAAGCAAGATGCTCGGCAGACATGTGCTACCAAGCAAGCGTACTCGCGATTGAGAAACACCCCAAGTCTCTTTCTGTTGGAGGAAATGTCTCTCTGTTATTTTAGCTGAGGATCATGAACAGCTTCAGAGTCCTGACGATGACTTGGCGTTTACCGAGAACCTGAAGCACCCCGAAACCATGAGAGCAAAGATCTGAAGTATTGATTTAATGTGTTTCAATAAACTCTGTGCAAACAGTAAAGTCCACAGGTGTTTACCAAGCAGTGTGTAGACGTGTGTACTCAGATCAGAGGGGGGGCAGTACTCAGATCAGAGGGGGGGCAGTACTTAGATCAGAGGGGGGGCAGTACTTAGATCAGAGCTGGGACAGTACTTAGATCAGAGCCGGGACATTTCTCAGACCCTGTAGTCAGACCCTGGACTCAGACCCTGTTCTCAGACCCTGTACTCAGACCCTGTACTCAGACCTTCTCAGACCCTGTTCTCAGACCCTGTACTCAGACCCTGTAGTCAGACCCTGTTCTCAGACCCTTTACTCAGACCCTGTACTCAGACCCTGTACTCAGACCCTGTACTTCAGAGAGCCCTCATGGCGAGCAACTGGCTGGTGTTGTTGGCGCTCTGTGCCGCCGTCCGGGCTCAGACCCCCACTAAGGACCATGGAGACGACCTCCTGAACCCAGAGATAACCACAGAAGAAGAGCTGAGGGTCCTGGTGCAGCAGCTGGTGGTCCGGGTGGAGAGGCTGGAGCGAGGTGAGGCGGGGACCCTCTGGAGACCCTCTTTCCCTCTTTAACTGAGGCTCCTTCTCTCCACTTTGGGGGTTATCTTCTGGAAGTGAACACTTTCTAAAAGATGCACATATCACGTTGATATAGTTAATAAGAAGTGTGCGATGTCCCTGGTCTCTCTGTCTGTCTCTCTCTGTCCCTAGTCTCTCTGTCTCTCTGTCTGTTTGTCTCTGTATGTCTCTCTGTCTGTTTGTCTCTCTGTCTGTTTGTCTCTCTGTCTCTCTCTGTATGTCTCTCTGTCTGTCTCTCTCTGTCTGTTTGTCTCTGTCTCTCTCTCTGTATGTCTCTCTGTCTGTTTGTCTCTGTCTCTCTCTCTGTATGTCTCTCTGTCTGTTTGTCTCTCTGTCTGTTTGTCTCTCTGTCTCTCTCTCTGTATGTCTCTCTCTCTGTATGTCTCTCTGTCTGTCTCTCTCTGTCTGTCTCTCTGTCTGTTTGTCTCTGTCTCTCTCTCTGTATGTCTCTCTGTCTGTTTGTCTCTCTGTCTCTGTCTCTCTGCAGGTCCCTCTCCTGTAGCGTTCTCTGCGTCTCTGGTCTCTGGTCCTGAGTGGACCCATCAGGGCCCGTTCCCCAGCAGCACCACGCTGCTGTTCAGGAAGGTGACGACCAACCTGGGTAACGCGTACGACCCGAGCATAGGTACTGGGATTTAACTCATACTGCTGACTCATGTTTAGGACTCATAATGCTGACTCATGTCAGGTTTAGGACTCCTAATGCTGACTCATGTCAGGGATTAGGAGTCATTATGCTGACTCATGTCAGGGTTTAGGACTCATAATGCTGACTCATGTTTAGGACTCATAATGCTGGTTTATGTCAGGGTTTAGGACTCATAATGCTGACTCATGTCAGGGATTATGAGTCATTATCAGAATCAGAATACCTTTATTAGTCCCACAGAGGGGAAATTTGCATCGTTACAGCAGGAAAGAGCCACAGACAGCTTAATGTTACCTATGTTAAGAAAAAAGTACAAAGTTATGATATAATAAAAATATAATATAAAACATAAAAGTAAAAGAAAAATACTTTCCAAAATACAAATCCTGTAACAGTTCTTAGGATTTAGCAGCCAGGTATATATTACACAGTTATTAATGGCATATGTATATAATGTATATATTGCACATATAGCACATATTGCACATAGTATGATGGTATTTAACTGCAGCAAGTTACACAATTTGCCAAAGATGCAAAATGCCAAAAAAAAAAAGAAAAAAAGAAATCCTGACTCATGTCAGGGTTTAGGACTCATAATGCTGACTCATGTCAGGGTTTAGGACTCATAATGCTGACTCATGTCAGGGTTTAGGACTCATAATGCTGACTCGTGTTTAGGACTCATAATGCTGACTCATGTCAGGGTTTAGGACTCATAATGCTGACTCATGTCAGGGTTTAGGACTCATAATGCTGACTCATGTCAGGGTTTAGGACTCATAATGCTGACTCGTGTTTAGGACTCATAATGCTGACTCATGTCAGGGTTAGGACTCATAATGCTGACTCGTGTTTAGGACTCATAATGCTGACTCATGTCAGGACTCATAATGCTGACTCATGTCATGTTTAGGACTCATAATGCTGACTCAGGTTTAGGACTCCTAATGCTGACTCATGTCAGGACTCATAATGCTGACTCAGGTCATGTGTAGGACTCATAATGCTGACTCAGGTTTAGGACTCCTAATGCTGACTCATGTCAGGACTCATAATGCTGACTCATGTCATGTTTAGGACTCATAATGCTGACTCATGTCAGGACTCATAATGCTGACTCATTTTATGTTTAGGACTCATAATGCTGACTCAGGTTTAGGACTCATAGTGTTGACTCATGTCATGTCAGGACTCATAATGCTGACTCATGACAAGGTGTAGGACTCATAATGCTGACTCATCTCTCTGGATGTGTGCAGGCGTCTTCACGGCCCCCCTGAAGGGCCTTTATTATGTGCGCTTCACGGGCAGCGTAGGAAGCTTGGGGTCCATGAACGCAGTGCTGATGAAGAACGATGAGTACATGTTTGAGGTGTACGACACGCGGGGGACGCACGGCAGCGCCTCCAACGGGATGGCTCTGGAACTGCAGGTGGGCGACCGGCTGTATGTCACTCTGTGGGAGGGGCAGAGCGTGTTCGACCAATCAAGGATCAGCACCTTCAGCGGCTTCCTACTGCAGCACCTGCAGGAGCCTCCTCCTCCTCCTGCAGCGCCCCCTGCAGGCCAGATCAAAGTACTGTAACTAAGTACCATTTAGAGGTACTTGTACTTTACTTGAGTATTTCCATGTTATGCTACTGTGTACTTCTACTCCTCTACAGTTCAGAGGTATATGGTGTAATTTTCCTCCACTACATGTATTTAATACCTTTAGTTACTTTGCAGATGTGGATGAATGATGTGAAATATAATCAAGTGTTAAATCAGACTTTAGTTCCACCTGGAGTAAATTCACAAGCTACCCTGCAATATACAAAGCCATTACAACTGATAATACTTTTCTACTTTTACTTTGGAGTATTTTTACACTGTAGTATTTTAACTTTTACTCAAGTAAAATATGTGAGTACTTCTTCCAGCACCGCCTGCAGGAGTTTATATATACATACATGTATGTGTATGTGCTTTGATGAATGAATAAACAGGAAGTGGATGGAAACGTGTGTTTGTTGTTGTTTTTGATGCTTTTATTTTTGACAGGATCAGGAAGCTGCATCACAAACAAACAGGAAGCGCTGATGAGACGGAATATCATATTTATTTATAATACCACATGTTTTATTATTTACGATTTAATAATCCCAAACTTCAGTTTCTCATTCGTCATGTTTTAATGTTCAGATATTTAAGCTCAGATTTTGAGACAGGTGAGAGACAGACAGGTGAGAGAGAGACAGGTGAGAGACAGACAGGTGAGAGACAGACAGGTGAGAGAGAGACAGGTGGAGACAGACAGGTGAGAGAGAGACAGGTGAGAGACAGACAGGTGAGAGAAAGACAGGTGGAGACAGACAGGTGAGAGAGAGACAGGTGAGAGACAGACAGGTGAGAGACAGACAGGTGAGAGAGAGACAGGTGAGAGACAGACAGGTGAGAGAGAGACAGGTGGAGACAGACAGGTGAGAGAGAGACAGGTGAGAGACAGACAGGTGAGAGAAAGACAGGTGGAGACAGACAGGTGAGAGAAAGACAGGTGAAGAAGAAGAAGATGGACCTTTATTAATCCCCCGAGAGGGAAATTCAGTTTCCACTCTGTCGTACATGCGTTTTTATACAGGTCATATAGTACACACAGTACACACTTTTTAGAACATGCACATACATATACAAATACACACACAGTTGCACACATGCACATGCAGTTGAGAGGTCAGAGCGGAGGCAGCCAGTCTAGCCGGCGCCAGTGAGCAGTTGGGGGTTAGGTGCCTTGCTCAAGGGCAGCTTGGCCCTTGTCGTTGATCGCCCGATGAGATTCCATTCATGTTGTCCTCCATGGTGCGGCACATCTTCTCGATGTTGGACTTGCTCTTCACCACACTCTCCATGTTGGAGGACAAGTCGTCCAGCTCCAGCTTCAGCTCGCTCTTCTCCTTCTCCAGTTTCTGCTTCACACGCTGCAGGTTGTCGATCTGTTCGCCCACCTCGGAGCATTCATTTTCAAGCTTCCGTTTCTTAGCTGTGAGATCTGCATTCATCTCCTCCTCGTCTTCCAGTCTCTCTGTCATCTCCTTCACCTTGGCCTCCTGCTGAATCTTGCTCTTGATCAGATGCTCGCAGCGCTCCTCAGCGTCTGTCAGTGTGTCCTGTTCGGACTGAAGCTGCTGATTCAGGTCGCTCTTCTCTTGGAGAGTGCTAACTATGTTCTCCTCTAGTTCCTTACGTCTTGCTTCTGATTTCTCCAGAGCTTCTTTCAGCTTACCAAAATCGTCCTTCATGTTGGCCATCTCCTTCTCCGACTCGGCGCTCTTCAGCAGAGGTTTGATCTTGAAGAAGAGCTTCATCCAGGGCCAGTTCTTCACACCCAGGAACGAGCGGAGATTCCACTGGATGACCATCAGAGCGTCCCTACGTTCCACCAGCGCAGCAAACTGGGCTCTCATGAGGATGGCCCGGGCGTTAGCCTGGATCCTGGTGATGATTCGGGAGAGCTGCTCATCACGCATCTCCCCCAGCGTGCCCAGCAGACCAGCTTTAAAGAAGACCTTGGTGTGACCGAACCTGTACTGGGTGTGGTCGATGTCCAGGGATCCCAGCATTTTTTCTGCACTCTTCTTGCAGTCGATGAACTGGCCTTCAGGGATGGCAGAGGCATTCAGAATCCTGTACCGCTGTTTGAAGTCTCCGTAGAGGACCCTGTTTGGGAAACCCTTCCTGCAGATCCTGATGCCTTCAAGGACACCGTTACAGCGCAGCTGGTGCATCACCAGGCAGTTGTCCATGGTCCCTGGAGTTTTACTCTCGTTAGGAATCAAACAGCGGACAAAGTGGGGATGTGTGGTCTTCAGGTTGTTCATCAGCTTGTTCAGGTTTTCCCTGTGAAGGGCTGAAACCGTCTGGAACGAGGAACCTTTCTTCTTGGCTCCTTTACCGCTGGCTTTCTCACTGCTGTCCGTCCCTGAAAAGGCTGAAAACAGCACACTGAGAAGCTTCAGAGAAAATTTCTGGTAAAGACCGACCACAGTTTCATTCAGGGGGTCTTTGTTTTTGACCAACCAGTTACAGATGTTGTAGTCCACCATGCCAGCATAGTGAGCCAGGGCAAAGTGAGCCTCTGATTTCCTCTTCGCAGCCCTGGGCTTCTCGAACATCTTGTTTTTGCCCAGATGATTGTCATAGAGCTTGGACTTGAAGGTCTGGTCGCTGGCTTTAGGAAACATACATTCCTCCTCCAGAATGGACAGGATCCCCAACGGCTTCTCGATGAGGTCAATACAGGCTTGTAGGTCCATCCCGAAGTCTATGAACTCCCAATCAATCCCTTCTTTCTTGTACTCTTCTTGCTCCAGAACGAACATATGATGGTTTAAAAACTGTTGCAGCTTCTCGTTGGTGTAGTTGATGCACAGCTGCTCAAAGGTATTGAAATCAAAGATCTCAAACCCAGCGATGTCCAGCACGCCTATAAAGTACTGACGAGGCTGTTTGGTGGCCAGGGAGTGGTTGATTCTCACCACCATCCAGTTGAACATCTTCTTGTACACAGACTTATCCACCGCCCCGATGGAGTAGTAGACTTGGTCCACACTTTGGCCTTTGGTGACGTATTCGTTTCCTACCTTGACTCTGGGATGGCACAGCCCTTTGATGAGGTTGGCAGAGTTCAGCCCCATCAGGTACGCAGATTTATCCGCCGCCCGTAGTGCATGATGGCGCCTGTTAGCTTGTAGACGCCCATCTTCTCTTCCGCAGTAAAGCCAAGCACGTCGAAGGCGCTGTCGGTGGCCATCAGCTCCTCTGCGTCGTTGATGGAGGTGACGGTTACCTCTCCTTGGGAGATGTAGGCGTAATCGTACGGGTTGTTGGTGATCAGCAGCAAGTCCAGGAGCTCTGGCTTCTGGTTGGACAGAAGATGTGGTAGTTCCTCTCAGCCTTGAGCTGAAAGGTTCAGCGGGACTTCTCCAGCAGGTACGTCTCGACGTCAGCAGACGACAACTTGCCGCTCGTCCCAAAGTGAATTCGGATGAATTTTCCAAAACGAGAGGAGTTGTTGTTTCTCAGCGTCTTGGCGTTGCCGAAAGCCTCCAGTGCGGGGTTGGCCTGGATGATTTGGTCCTCCAGCGTGCCCTTGCTGGGGTCTCTTTTGCCGACGGCAGCGATGCTGGCAAAGTACTGGATGCCTCTCTTGGTGTTCACAGTCTTTCCGGCTCCGAATTCTCCGCAGCAGGCGGACGCTTACACAGAGGCTTCACGCATCAAATTAGGAGATAGCTGACACAGAAGATGACACTACATTTATCCGGGATGTGCAGACACCACGAGGGCAGCTTCACGACCTTCGGCTGTTAGAGTCCATTTTAGGAAACAGAGATTCACTGCTTATCTGCCGCTGATAGGGGCTCCTGACCTTCCTGCATTTAGACTCAGCTTCTACCAAAGATCATCCAGCACTTCATACTGTCTTCATTCTGCTGCAGCTGCTGTGTTAATGTTTATACTGATATACACCTGAACATCAGCAGGAGAGGACTCTTTAAAGTAGAGACACTACATACTGATATACACCTGAACATCAGCAGGAGAGCACTCTTTAAAGTAGAGACACTACATACTGATATACACCTGAACATCAGCAGGAGAGGACTCTTTGATTGATTGATTGATTGAAAAGTTTATTAACAGCTTGTATATTGGGTACAGTACAGTACAGCTCAAAACATACAATTGTTAAGGGGATGCAGACCAGAGAAAGACTTTCGTCTTGTTTACATCAGGGTCCCCCATTTCCAATTCATCATATCATTTAAGACATATAAGACATATTTGACATACAGATGGCTTATTTACAATTTACATACAGGTGGTTTTTTACATACAGATGGCTTATTTACAATTTTCATTTTAGATTTCGTTCTAATACATCCTAACCGGACATTTAAGACATACCAAGTCTACAGATATACAGTTAGTAACAGAGTCTAAAATGCGAGTATATACATAGATGGGGGGGGGGAAGCTGTCCATTGTACGACAGGTTGAGATTTGTACCATTACCGGGGCCAGTTTTGCAATGCTTTCCCCCGAAGGTGCTCTTTAAGAGAGGTTTTGAAGGTAAGTATAGTTTTACTTTCCTTTACAGTTGTGGGAAGAGCGTTCCACCTTGATGTGGCATAATTGCGAAACGTGTATTCCCCTTTTTTTGTGCCAAATCTGGGTTTTACATGATTTGTGGAGCTCCCTCTGGTGTTATGATCATGGTATTCCTTGACCTTTGGGAAGAATTTTGACATGTACATGGGTACCATAGAGGTGTAGTGGATCTTGTAGACCAGGCCCATTGCAAGTAGCTGTACTCTGTCGTCTACTCTAAGCCATCCTAGGTTGTCAAAGTGGGCAGAGGTGAGGTGGGTTCTAGATGAAAGGTCAAGCAGTAGTCTGACCAGTTTATTTTGCGATGTTTGAAGTTTTATTTTTAGCGCCTTGGAGGTGCTATGGTACCATGACGTGCAAGCATAGTCATAGTACCCTTGAATGAGTGCTCCTGCCAGAGTTTTCAGGGTGTTTTTGTTTACCAGAGAGGAGATCCGGTATAGGAATCTAGTTCTTTGATTGACTTTTTTTATTACATTGGATGCCATTTTGTCACAGGA